ACACTATGGGTTATTTCGATTTTTGATTTAATAACTTGAAAAATTCAAAGAAGATATATCTTTCAATCGTATTATATTCTATATAGTAGATGATTAATTATTATTGTCCTGAACAACTTCATTTTCACTTCTTTCATGTATGGGTTTTCAACATCAAATATATTCCAAATGTATCTAGCCAATCAAAATTGTTTGTCATTGTTTTTCCTGATAGATTTTATTATTTGTATGTGCCTTTTCATATTCAATGTAAAACAACTCAAAGAAATGATCTAAGATACAAATTCTGTTCATTATTTTATAGATAATTTCTATGCCACGATATATGACCTCATATAGAGTAAATGATATCGGTAACAATTAATTAACGTTTACGAGTGTGCGACTTAATGCCAATGTTTCTAAGATAAATGAAATTAGCTAATTGAAAATGATAATTTTTGTCTCATCATTAAAATAGTGAAGAGATATTTATTTCAATAGTTGAGATCATGAGTCCATTGAAGCTAGACCACCATGGAAAACCTGAAAGCACTGGATGGCCGTTTCGTCCTACTGTGGGACTCCTCAGTAGTGCCCGTCCACGACCCCGCGCGAGAGCATTTAACCACAACACCACTGAGCAGGCATCCAACGTTATTAATGTCTAACTTCAACTAATCCACGAAATTGAGCGACACATCCACCATCGTCATCAGTGAGTTCCTATCCCACAACTGACCCGGTTGAACTCCACCGGTCACTGCTTCTCACTAGAATGCCAGGATATACACCTAGAAGAAATATTAGAGAAATGCTATTGTAGACAGTAATAAGTATAAAACTATCTTGTGTGTGTGAACATTAATATTTGTAAATACAACAATATAACTGCAGTAAACGAGAACTTGGGCAGGGAAGATACTTTGATTATATAATGCAGAATTACAAAATGTGTTCATAAATTATGAAAAACATACATTAAATATTAAGAAAGAAGAGTATATTTGTAACATTTCTGCGAATGGATTTGAAGTAAATCTAACGTTTTACCTGGCAAATTCATTCGCTGAGGTTTTACTTATACATACTTTCTATTTAATGTCTCACATCAACTCGGCACCCAAATACTGTCAATCTATTCGATCAAATCTAGACAAAAGTTCTTACATACATTAAATACTGTATTTGCATATCTTCCCCCAGTTATTCTTTATATTCTTTATAATTCCCCCAATTCCTTTCTGTTTCCCTCTCAGTTTTCTTCAATTCAGTCTTCTCAAGACTGGTGCTACTTATCTCTGTCAACATAAATAACATACATCGCATAATAAGTAGACATAATTTTGACAAAGCAGTGAAAGAGTGTATTCCTTCTATTTACAGAATTTAGACATTATCGAATAGATACACAGAAGTTTTGTTATTTTATTACCTAGAAAAAGATCTAATTCATTATTACTCCATTTTCAATTAACGGATTACTATTGAATAATTATGTAATATGTACTTGCTTTCAATTTACTTATCAAGTACATTTTAATTAAGATGAATAATTTTCATGACAATGTATAAATGAAAAATAATCCTAAAATAATTCTTGTTAGTGAAAGAAATCAATGAATTCCCTAATATTTCCCATGTTTTAGATATGGTTCCATTCTGTGCATTTATTATGTGCTGTTAATGAATTGTGCATGGAGGACAGTTGACAAAGTCGTTCGAAGTGAAGACCGGTTTCAGGCAAGGTTGCTTACTCTCACCCTTTCTCTTTCTCCTGGTGATCGACTGGATCATGAAGACGTCAACGTCTGAAGGAAAGCGCGGGATACAATGGACATCTAAGATGCAGTTGGATGATCTAGACTTCGCAGACGATCTGGCCCTTTTATCCCAAGCGCAACAACAGATGCAGGAGAAGACAAACAGCGTGGCAGCTGCCTCAGCAGCAGTAGGTCTCAACATACACAAAGGGAAAAGCAAGATTCTCCGATACAACACAGCGTGCACCAATCCAATCACAATCGACGGAGAAGATTTGGAAGATGTGAAGACCTTTACATATTTGGGCAACATCATTGATGAACAGGGCGGATCTGATGCAGATGTGAAGGCGCGGATCGGCAAAGCAAGAGCAGCATATTTACAACTGAAGAACATCTGGAACTCAAAACAACTGTCAACCAACACCAAGGTCAGGATTTTCAATACAAATGTCAAGACAGTTCTACTGTATGGGGCAGAAACCTGGAGAACTACAAAAGCCATCATCCAGAAAATACGGGTGTTTATTAACAGTTGTCTACGCAAAATACTTCAAATCCATTGGCCGGACACTATTAGCAACAACGTACTGTGGGAGAGAACAAACGAGATCCCAGTGGAGGAAGAAATCAGGAAGAAGCGCTGGAAGTGGATAGTATACACATTGAGGAAAGCACCGAACTGCGTCACAAGACAAGCCCTCACATAGAATCCTGAAGGTCAAAGGAAAAGAGGAAGACCAAAGAACACATTACGCCGAGAACTGGAGATAGACATGAGAAAAATGAACAAGAATTGGATGGAACTAGAAAAGAAGGCCCAGGACAGAGTGGGTTGGAGAATGCTGGTCAGCGGCCTATGCTCCATTGGGAGTAACAGGCGTAAGTAAGTAAGTAAGTAAGTTAATGAATTACTATCATTAATGAATAGATTTCTATTGGCTCTGTCTGACTCTACAATAGGGTGATGACGAACGAAAAAACCCATATCATTGCTAACTTCGTGAATAGTCCTATGAATTATCACATTATGAAAACGTTTAAATAAAAAGTCGAATAAAAGTAGTGTTATGGATATGTATGATTTATGCATATGATTAATCAGATAGATGGTCAGAATGAAAAGAAGAAATTATCATGGCCGTTATCTACTACTAGTCAAAAGATACTTAGTTAGGTATTCATCAGTTTATTTATGAAAACAGACAAAGAGTAATATAGAAGAAAAAAGGACACACAGATATGTGTGAAGATAGCAGTGTATGAGACATAAACAGTGTGTACATTTTCAAAAAAATACTAAAAAATGACTTCAAAGTAATATCACCACGCAAATAAACACTGATCTATTAGGATTATTAGTAGCCCTTCTAGTAGAAATGAGTTACTCCTTTATATATATATATATATATATATATATATATATATATATATATATATATATATATATATATATATATATATAACACAGTGACAATTTAAATGTCATCGGGTTTTCCGTAAAATACACTTAAAAGTAGTAAAAATCCGACTTATTGTCAATGGTTGTGCAGCAGAAAAAAATATGAAGAAATCTATTGCAAAACTTGTTTTCTTTTTCTTTTTTTATCGTTGATGAATGTGGTTATTTCATAAGTATAATTCCTTTCTCATCATCTTGAAGAGAGTAAGAACAAAGATATGAGCAGAATAACATGAATTCATTATTGATTCGTTTAGTTCTTGTTAGCTGCTTGCAACCTGTGATATTTAAAAATTACAATTACCAAAATGAGTACAAATTGCTTACATGAAATGTACTACTGATGTCTTGTGTCAGTATATGTTTATGAAAAATGGTTTTCTTTATTAATCTTCCTTAAAGTTATTAAATATTGTTGTGAACTCCATTTCACATTTGAATGTAAGCACTTTTAATACAATGATTTTGTTGTTGTAAATTCTTTTTGAGACCCTTGCAAGTCAACGCTTTTATTTTGTACGTTCAAACGCTTATTACGTGATTTATTCCGAACACTTTGAATTTATCCACAATATGCTGATTATGTCATGATGTGAAATATAGCATTACTGAAGATGCAGTGTGTCTGTCAAACGAACTGGGCACAACATAAGATCATATTTGTTATTCATGCTTTATATACCGGAAAATCTGACTATGTTTATTGAATACATGGACTGAAAGGTCGATCAAACATTTTATACGTGGAAAAGTCAACTTAAACAGTACAGTATCGGATATTTCTTCAGTTGTGTCCTGTCTAATAGGAACAAGGTTTCGTAAAGGATATAATAAATAGAATCCAATGCATATTCATAAGATAGCTTATGGTAACAGTAGCCAAGGGTTTAAATGAAATAGACTAAAAATTCATACTCGTAGGTCAATGGAAAGATTGTAAAACTTTAAGAGCTACTAAATTTTCAAAGTTGTCTTATCAAACAAAGATTAAGTTGAAAATGAAGTCATATCTATAATCAATAGAATTTACTATGCATCCAAGATCTGCATAATTTGAAAAACTCATGCATCAACACAAGCCTGAAACACATGTAAACGTCTGCGTGATACTCCGTAGTTTATACCAATCTTACATATCTAAGAAGTAACACAAACAGAAAAGACTAATGTCGTGATATATACTGCAGGATACTTTAGAAAATACCTAAATGGTTCCGAAAATAGATGCGCTCCAACAATTCGATAAAAGCCAAAGATACACATCTATTATTGTCGATTAAAAACATGTTTGGTAACATGAATAATCTAATAACTACCTTCTAAGTATGAGTTCATAAAAAAAACACTGGAATCTATCGAAATCTGCTAAAGCAATATATAATGACTGATGAAATGAGCTTATAATTTACTCACTACCTATATGGCTTAATTCATAATCAACGAATTTCATTAATACTACATTTATTGTTATATTTTTCTTTACAAGTTTATATCTATTATACATATGGATGCTGGATTGTGTTGACTTCTTTGAAACACATTGTTTTGTAATTTCCCTTTCATCATGTTTTATCACATCTTTCGTGGTTGTAACTATCAATAAATAGAAGCACATCATAATAAATTTACAATGACCTTGAGTCTATTGATCATAATTCGTAGGCCACAATCAGGTGATTGGTAAAATCTGGCTTCATTTCTATCCTATATTGATAATATAATTGGTTAAGATTTAACTTACTATTGGTGAGATCCACTAACTGGTAAATAAGTTAAAAGTGATAAAAGGAGAAGAGGATTGAAAATTCAACATTTGTGCATAAGTATATATTAGAGAGAGCTGTTGGTAGTTCAATATACGTATATTAAGTGATTGATATTATTCAGTTAATGAAATGAACACATTGTTATTACATGTTAAGTTCTGACTGTTTCTACAGTGACTTGGGTTTCATTCATATTTAGTAGTATTTAACAACAATTACTGTACTAATTATAAACAAGGTTAACAACTAGTTCATTTTAAACTGTATCAACAAAACATCTCACAGATTGTGTACATACAATTGTTCTCGTGTATACTGAAGTGTGTCATTGTGCATCAGTTTGTAAACTTTCTCCTAAAAATAGGATAAAAATGACATTGCTTGATACACTGTCGAATTTCAGGTATTGAGTCTACCTGATTCTGTAAAGTGTGAACTTATTAAAAATTTCCACTTTTGAAGCATTATGCACATTCGTTCGAATACTTCTATTTCCAGAAAAATTTCATAAAAGTCTTCAATCACATTTATGTTTAACAAATGGCAAAATGAGTGATCTAAAGGATATGGATGGAATTACTGAACATTTCCAAGGCACTACTACACTTACCACAACTTTTGAAGGAGACCGAATAGATTCAGTTGAAGATTATATTGTCGATAATACACAAATGGAAAACAATCGGCAATCATCACCGTTTATCGAACGTGATATAGATGAAGATGCACAAACTGTTAACGAAGAAGAAGAAGAAGTGGTAGAGGATTATGTGCACCATGATTATGCGAGAGAGTCAAGCAACATGAAGAATGATAAACAAGTTTTTCAAGAGAAAATGAAAGATATTTTACAGGAAATGAAAATGAAAGAAATTATTCGTGAGAAAAATGTTGATACTAATCTAAAACAATCTAATCCATACCCAACGAGTAATAGACCATTGACACCTGAATCGATTGATCAAACGTTTGATCATTCAGGTGATGATAGTTATATGAAAGATGAAGAGGTAACTGAAGAAGAGATACAAGTGGAGGAAGTAATTGACGAAGAGAATAAAGTGACAATGAGAGTCGATGATCGAGAAAGTTCTGTTCAATATGAATTTGAACCAGAACCAGAGAATGACAAATTTATTGAAACACAGACACAAATGAAAAATGATGAATTTCAGTATGAAGGACGATTATCAGAAAACATCACATATAGATCAGAAGATTCGAATTCACAAAGTCGTTTGATTTATAATGAAGTTCCGGCTATGAACTCTAAAACTAATGATATAGTTAATTTTGTTCAAGAACACGTACAAACTTTGAAATTAGACGAAGAGCCGCAGGCTAATGTTAAATATTCTGAACAGTCTAAACATTGTCACGTACCGGCTTTCTATAATGAAGCAATAGTTGATCATGCAGATAGAACATTACCAATTTCATCTATATCTCCGACACTGACAGTTGTACAAACATCATCTCAAAACTCGACAAATTCTAGATCTCGTTCAATTAGACCAATATATCAAAGTTCAGTAACTCTGTCTAATCACAATCAATCAACTCCACATAATTCTAAATCAGTTATGCATTATCCTGTTCGTAGAACATATTCACCAAGAGAAGAACCCACGAGTCCAACAAGAACTGCAATTCATATTGGATCACAAGTAATATCAGAACAAAGTGGACCATCGTTTACAATATTCTTAAGACGTCCAAACAGTGAACGCCATTGGGGCTTTTCATTTTATGGTGGAGCAGAATATGGATGTCCACCGTTTGTAAACAAAGTAAAGTTAATAATTCTATCTTATAAATTATAATTCACTTTGTTTTTGGGTACATTTAATCAGTAAAACATTTATCTTTCAATCTAAATTCCAGATAAGCTGCATGATTCACTTTAAACACACTAATTTCAAGAAGGATTTCTTTACCTTGATAACCTGTCAGAAATAAGCTATAATTCTATGAAAAAGATAAGTAAATACATTATTTTTACAAGTATTGCGATTATAGATTTTTATGAAGACAGTTATTTGGTAATGATGACTAATGGTATAGAAAGAAACCTTCCGCAGAAAATGCATCAATATATCAACACAGTATAAGAACTAACACTATAAATATCTTCAACACTTCATAATACTTAAAATGCACTCCACTATATTAATAACATTGAAATATGATGTTATATCCTAGGTTTAACCATGGTTGCTTGACCTAAAGATCAATAAGTTATGCCTGAAGCACAGAAATAAGAAACCAAACAATTTTTCAATTAGTTATTAAGTAGTTGGATGAATACTTTTCAATAACGCTCGAGATATAGTAAAGTATCCACTAACACTTGTCTGTTCATTTGAAATGAATAACGATTTACATTTCAGTAAATTTTGTTGATATAATAATGATAAATAACAAAACTGTATGGTAGATAAAATATAAAAATCCATTCTCTGTATGACAGAAAGTTCTGAGATGAATCTCACTTGATACAACATATTGATATATATAATAAGGTTGTTTTTGTGTCTCCTAAATGAACTCATTTAGACTTCGGATAAGTTACTGAAATTTAGCATTAAATGTGATAAGTGCTATCGAATGATCATCAGTTATTATCGAGTTAACATTTTAATTTCATTGACTTTTTCCAGACCGAAGTGATTAATTTACATAGTGAATGTAAGTATGACAGCTAAAGTTATCCCATCATGATCAAAGGTTAAAGGTTAAATAACTTTGTTTTGTCTATTTCTTGTTGTTTTCTCCATTAACTCCTATAACTTTTTAACTTGAAATATACGTTTACTAATTATTTAGCACGAAAAACTGCAAAAATTATTTTTTTACAGACTGATAAAGTCACTCAATTGTTTTATTTAAGTTTTACTATTGTGCTACTAACAATCATCGATTGTTGAAGTATTACTCAATAAGTAAATTTGTGTACAACAAAGTAATCATCAATTACTTTTCATAATCTTCTTTTATTAATGACTCTGCTAGTGATGGCCATTGGTGGTGTTGAAGTTTTTAAGTAAGGTGGTTTATTTTTACAGAGCTTCCATTGTCATTCTGAACATCATCAACTACATCAACAACTTCATATAGAAATAAGTGGTAAAGATATTCAGAATGATAATGAAAACTTTAAAATTAAGCTATTTTGCTCACAGAATTCAACACTATCAAAAGCATCTATCTCAGTTACAAATTTCGTTTGTCATTTCAGTAATGAATACTTTCATAAAATTACAATTAATTTTCCGGTCTGTAAGGCTACTTCAAATGGTCCCACTAAAATCATCAATGATGAAATGTTTATACATTTATCTAAAGATTTTTTAAGTATTGTGTTTTTATTTTGATATTATAATGAACATACTTTTGTCAACTATTCACCGTGTCTGTTGTGAGTCAGTTACACAATGAAGACATTGGCGGACGGTCGCGCAATATCATAGATTGTTTTGAGTTAGACATTAACATTGTTGGATGGTCTTGAGGTTTACCGTTCGCGCGCGAGACCGAGGGCCCTGAACTCGAGTTTCACATGCGGGACCATGTGTGTGCACTGCTGAGGAGTCTCATACTAGGACGAAACGGCTGGACAATGCTTCCAGGTTTTAAATGATGGTCTAGCATTGATTCATTCACGATATCAATCTAAACTTGACAATCTCCACACTCCTATATTGAGTCATACTTACCTATCTTTATTTACAAACGTAATCTTTTAAAACATCAAGGAAGTATTTGTAAATGTTTGCACTTTTCTATTGCTTACTTTAAAATTTATCAACTGATTGTAGTGTTATAATTAAAGTAACTTTTTATATTCAAACATTTATGCATTTCTAAATGAATTAATCAGTCGTTTGACTTTCTTAAACTGCTGTAATTGTGATAATCAGCTACATCATTTTAGAACTAAACTGATTTTGTCTTAGTGAAATTTATTCAAGACATTCCTTAATATCATTTTGTGGCTTCTAAAATTGGTGGATTGTAATTTGATTGAAAGTATCAATCGGGAAATGTCAATGCAGATGTGTGGTAGATTTTCTACTCTATCTTTACTTAACAATGTATTTTAAAACTTAACGAGCTTACAAACGATTATATGGTGTTATATGCACATTTTTCATTTTCTTCATCGTGATTTGGTCATTTAATTTCAGTTTGTTTATCTTACATTATATAAATGTGTTCATCTGATCAAAAACAATTGTTTGATGTCACTGTGTAGTTAATTTATACCTAACTTTGAGATACTTTGTCGCGAATGAGCTAATGTATAGAGGAACCTGTGTATAAGATTCAGAAGTAAAGATAACGGCTAGTGAACGACTAGTAAGCACACTTGATGTGTACTTTGGAGCTAAGCTATTTATACCATAACCGAAGTTAGCACTACGTGAATTATCCAGATATGTTTGATAAAATTCAGAAGTAAATGAATGAATCGCACAACCATAAGCTCAGTTTATCAAAACATTTTGTACACATCATGACTGTATATTATAAATTAGTATTTAAAATAAAAACTCTATAGTAAATGGAAAGAAACATCATCTCTATCAAAAATCCACGAAACTAATTTACAAGGAGATTTACATAATCTTCTTGAAATGGCCTGTATGTTTTAAACAAGGTTAAAATTGATATAGCATCAAATTATACCGTTTTAACCTACATCCAATTGAGCACGACATTAAATTGTAATTTGATGTGTTCTTTTTCCAATAGTTTATGAAGAATGGTGTAAGTGATTAAATATGGTTCCACTTGTTAAAGTATGGTTTTTTTGCAAAAGATCGTCTGTAACTTCACTTGTACCTGACGTTTTTGTCGATATCGTCATTCAGAACGATGAACGCTCCAAGACAAAACATCCAGGTCATAGAACAAAACCTCACCATAAGTACTATGTAATTATCAGAGAGCGGCATTCAAATTTATGATATTGATTAAAATTCCTAAAATACTAACCTATTGAAAGCAATTACTGGTAACATCAATAAAATTTAGTAAAGTTAACTTTCTGGAAAATATTTTGACACACTAAAAGTAACTTACATTATTAACTAAGATTAATACATAGTTACAATTTCACTGGTGATCAAATTCACTTTGATTCATAATTCGATGATTTACCTTTTTGACTCCAGAAACGTTTCACACTTCTGTTATTTCTTAACTGCTATCAGTGATTTATTATCACAATGTCTACTTGAGTAAATCTGAAAATCATGACTCCATGTTAAGGACACTAAGAAATACCGTTTAAAACTAATTACTAGTGATCAGATTTCTTAAACTTTTTCTAATATACTTTCCATCTTAAATATGAGGTAGTTGAAGAAATGGAATAAATTCTATTCAAAGAAGGAGAGGAAATAAAGAACTTTAACACCTTTGACTGATACTAATTAGTTCATTGAAAGTCAATAAGAAATAACTACTGTATTATGTCATATAAATTGCATTAATTACAAACGATCGTCTAGCTAAATGTTAATAGAATGTTATATAATGAATTAAACGCTTTTTTTCTACCAGATATATTTGTAAGATTTGATTAAGTTGTATTAATTAAATCAATCAATTTCTTCGCTCAATTCGTTACTTCTTTATTTACCAAATGGCAAAATGGGAATTTTCACAATATTTTATTGCTTTAACTAGTAAAAGAGGGCTGAGATTATTTACAACATTTCCAGTGTTCGCTGTATGTATTGTATACAATACTTTCATTCATATTTCCATTTATTTGGTAAACAAATGTTGCATAGATTAGAATGAAATTTCATTAGGAATTTCATTTGAACTATATGAAATTGTTTGCAACTATTTACTGTGAATATGTTCGATATAGACAGACTAGAACATGCCAGGTGATAAACACAAATATAGTGAACATGTGGCTTAAAATAGAATCTTTATTTAACTTTACACTTTAGTACGTAAATTTTATCCACTAAATAAACAAAATATAACCTAAATCGCTGTATATGATAATACTAAGTGAGCATTGGATGTACTGAGACTAACGTCGGATACTTTATTGTAGTACCATCTAATGAATTTGTTCTTTCTGACATTACAATCAACAACTTTTTTCGGTATAATATTTTGTGGTTTTCACATTTGATATTTTACTTAATGTCTATAATACGAAATGACCTTTTATTGAATTAATTTACTAATCATATGACTGACTATGTAGAAAAACATCACAAGATTTATTCGAAAACATTTTTTGTCAGATGGTATTCAATCACATTGACAACGTTGAGTGTATGTATTCAGAATAAATTCATTTATTCTTTAGCCTAACAGAAATATATCCTAACGATTCGCTACAATATATATTAGTTTAATTATTCTTTATTATTATGTTTATATCGTAATTAATATTTACATAAGTAAAGGTGGTTAATTTTGTAGATCAATGAATTAGTTAACGTGAGTTCATATGAAGTCATATTGTAGTGAACATCCAAATGTCTCTAGTACAAATTTACAGAGTTACTTGTTAAAATAGAAAAACAATATAGCAAATCGTTAATTTGCAAAATATCATTCCATCATATCAAACTGGACTGTTGCTGTTTCAATCAACAATCCATTGTCTCACTTTTCATTGTCCATGCGTTTTCTTACAAGTTGCATTGTGTTCTCGATCTTCCTTCTTCGATCTTCTTCCATCTTCTGCTGCCAGACACTACGTTCCTGACTCGCGTCATATACTACTTACATCAATATAAGTAGCACGCACCACAATATTTCTCATAATCTTTTAGTACTCATATTCAAGTTAAGAGTTTGCCGAACATTATTTTATTAAAAGAAACGTAAGTAATGGTTATGATAAATAAAATGATAGTACAGTATAGCATGATTTGTAGAACTTCAGTAATAATTACATTTCTAAATGAAGAATTTTTAATCAGAAGACTTTATAAATCAATTAGAGATTTATTGAAAACCACAAAGGACTTGATATATAATTCATCCCAATTTTAAACTCTTCAGTAGTATGCACTTTTGATCATATATGAAATAGAATTGAGGAATTTCAAGTTTCGCGCCTGAAGTCCAGCAGTAATACCAGCTCTCACACAGAATATGTGACTCAAGGTCAAATGGATGAACTAACGAGTCGAATTAATTAGATTGATTGTACTGATAAACCGGGGAAACTTGTTAATAATATATTCTAAGAGACCAAAAAGCGATCAATAAAACATATCCAATGATTTGGTGATTTTTATTGATCATGTACAATGATTTTGTACTCTCGCCTTTTCTCTTTCTCCTGGTGATCGACTGGATCATGAAGACGTCAACATCTGAGGGAAAGCATGGGACACAGTGAACAACTAGAATCCAGCTGGACGATCTAGACTCCGCAGATGGTCTGGATCTTCTATCGCACACGAAACAACGAATGCAGGAGAAGACGAACAGTGTAACAGCAGCCTCAGCAGCAGCAGTAGGTCTCAATATACACAAAGGGAAAAGCAGGATTCTCCAATACAACAGAGCATGCACCAATCCAATCACAATTGACGGTGAGGATTTGGAAGATGTGAAAACTTTTACATATTTGGGTAACATCATTGATGAACACGGAGGATCTGATACAGATGTGGAGGCACGGATCGGCAAAGCAAGAGCATCATATCTACAACTGAAGAATATCTGGAACTCAAAACAACTGTCAACCAACACCAAAGTCACAATTTTCAATACAAATGTCAAAACAGTTCTACTGTATGGGGTGGAAACATGGGGAACTACGAAAGCTATCATCCAGAAGATACAAGTGTTTATTAACAGTTGTCTACACAGAATACTTCGGACCCGTTGGCCATACACTATCAGCAACAGCCTACCATGGGAGAGAACAAACCAGATTCCAGAGGGGGAAGAAATCAGGAAGAAGCGCTGGAAGTGGATAGTACACACATCGAGGAAAGCACCCAACTGCGTCATAAGGTAAACCCTCACATGGAATTCTCAAGGCCAATGGGGGTGAAGAGGAAGACCAAAGAACACATTACGCTGAGAAATGGAGACAGACATGGGAAAAACGAACGAAAATTGGATAGAAATGGGAAGAATGGCCCAGGACAGAGTGTGTTGGAGAATGTTGTTCAGCGGCCTATGCTCCATTGGGAGTAACAGGCGTAAATAATTAAGTAAACAATGATTTTGTGCTCATCAATGAACATATTAAATAGTTTTAAAGTCAAATAAAACAGATACCTTAGTATTCAGTAGTTTTTCAAATGACATTGATTCATATTACGAATTTTTTTAGATAAGTTAACTTTTCTAGTTTATGTAAGTGAAAAATTTCATTAAACGTCAACAATCAATCTTCTTGTAATACAATGAACGTACATTAACTTCAGTATAGTATTCATATATGAACCTTTATACAGTTGTTAACGCGAAAGAAAAATCCTTAGTTTATGCATCTATTTTAATGACATAAGTATAAGGTAACTCAATCTCTTAACATTGTAAGTTTCCTTTTATAATTTATGTCAAAATAAATAACTTATTCAAGAAAATATCCTTTTTCTAATGTCTTATGAAAGAATGCTGTTAAATATTTGTATCCTCTTTTCCTAAAAAAGAAAAGAAAATCAAATCAAATGTTAACCATTTGTGAATTATGTAATAATGACATTAGAATTAAATGAATGATGACTATCAGGTGTTTGAAAAGAAAAAAAAGAATAAAAACTAATAGAGAGTGAAAAGAAGGTAAAGCAAGAAATAGGCATTCATACAAATCATTGTTGACAAATGATCAATGAATTTATAAAAGTGCAGAGAATATTTCACTTTGAAGGACGAAAGTAGGAAATAATTCAACTGTTTATCAATAGGTTCTTATAGTTCCACTTACCATAACTTATGACCTAGTTATAATAAATATATAACAAATATGTCATTTAAAGTGTTGTCATATATTTTACTTAGAAAAGAACTTGAATATTAGGTATATTGTAAAATTGTTTTTTTCTATGGTTGATTGGTTTAAACATTTGGTTGTTTATGTTTAATGCTACTGATAAAAGTTCAACATTTCTTTGGTCATTTAATAAGCCCTTTTACACTTTTCTACAACACTACGAAAGCTGAATTTAGATCAATCTTGTGACCTGTTTCAATTATATATTATGATGATGTTAAGTTGTTCAATAAAACGTTAATAGAAAATGGCTATCCTCTGAAATTCATAAATAGATGGTAAGTCCATGATACAGCGAGACCTATTGTAGCTTCAGTAGAGAAAAAGCCTGTCTACATCACCTTACCGTTCAGAGGTGATTCAAATAGCCTTTTATTGAAACAGCGACTTAAATCAGTCATCAATAAAACGTATTGCGCAGCAAAGGTCATCATCAAAGAAAACAAGGTGCATGCTTCATTCATAACCTAAAGTACATGGAAACGATTCCGTCACATCCCACTGTGTTTACCAATTTAAGTGTATGTATGGTCACCCATACATAGAGAGGAGTAATCGTGATCTCAACATTAGAGTGAGTGAACATTTACCCAAATGGCTTCAGAAACAAGTACAATCAAGTGATCCAATAAGAGCAGGGGATAAATATTCATCATCCTCTATTGCTAAACATATAATTGGAACAGGTCACAAGATTGATCTAAATTCAGCTTTCGTAGTGCTGTATAAGAGTGTAAAAGGGCGTATACTAAGGTTTATTGAAGCCTTAGCCATACGAAAATTCAAACCCTCTTTGTGTGTTTAAAAACAGTTTGTTCTTACCTTAAACCTACCCTGGTAATATTGACTTATTATCCAGAGTAATTAGGTTTCAAATTGTGTTCACATTATTATTATTATTATTATTATTATTATTATTATTATTATTATTACTCTTATCATTACCCTTATCTCCTTTTACCCGTTTCCTGTCTAGTTGACCTTTCATTTTTATATATAAATGCTCTTAACAAGTATATATGTGACCAGATTGTTCGAAATGTATTGCGTTAATATATCACATAGTTCCGATAATCTTCGTCTTCTAATATCATTATCGAAATTTATCAAAGGGACTAATTGTTTTACATTTAATAAGCCTTAACACATAGATGAACTTAACGGTAGATTTTTCTTCCTATTGAATTTCTGTATTAAGTGAAAGAGATGCTAATGAAACGGTCATCCAGTGCTTCCAAGTTTTCCATGACGGTCTAGCTTCAACTGACTCATGAATTCAACTACAAAATTACAAAACCCCCTTCTGAGAATTAATAATATTTAATTTGAAATATTTTCTAACCTATTTTAAAATTATGGAAAGTATTTTTGTATTATGAGAATCAGATACGAAAATTAAAGATTTCTAATCGTTTTGTTGAAGTGATGTTATGAACGCTGGTTTAATTTGTAAGTTGCATCCATCATAGATCGACTTCGTTTGAGGTCCTATAAAAACTCAAGGAGTACTGGTATAGAGCTCGTCAGCATTTCATATAAACTTGTGATGATTACAGACTTTGAATTAAATCAGTGTTCATCAAACTTCTTCAGTTAAACTGTAATAGCACACTAGCCATTTTACTTCAAGATAAACTTAAGGTTTGAGTAAGGAGTCACGATTGGTAGAGATCAAGTATGTCAGGAAGGAAACAGTTGTCTCCCAGTGGTATTAAATTATTGTCACACTGTACTGCAAATTGACTGAAGTTAGAACTGTACTGACGTATTAATGGTAAAGAGTACTCTGTTAAACTGGAAAGTTCTGAATTCGACCTCTGGTGGAGTCGTGGGTGTGCACTGCTAAGGAGCATCAGTTCGATTGATTTCCCTTGCACCAGTTAAATATAAATAGTTCAAACACACAGAGTGGACGAAAACTCAGTTTTCTTTTAGTTAACAATGCTTTGTTATTTCTACAGGGTTATAAGAAATGACAGTTATAAGTTGACATTGATTATCAGGTTTGAAAACGTCATAAGTAACGAAGGTATATGAACTCAGTAACATCTATAAGGAAAAATGATACGGAAACGTGCTCTGATCCAACGAGGAAACTCATGGCTCCAAAAAGTTCTGCCACATTTGACTAGTCGTAACGTCAGTAGATAACGCTTTATATGGTCTTGGTAATGAATACATAAAAAGGCAGGTAATCTATTAAGACTGATATTTTGGAAGTTTCACTAATCGGATCAAAGCTTGCATCTTACAATAACTTAGATCACTAAACCTTAGCAACTCTTAGAAGAAGAATTTAAATGTTAGTTAATCATTAAGTTTTTAATGTCTTCATGCATTAAGATTAGTATTAGTGTTATCCAAGATTCTTGATTCGTTTTAAGATTCCCAATGTTCCTTAATTAAGGGTTGCATATTATCTTGAAACTTAGTTCTCTAAGCTGGATGACTTAATCACTAAGATTTTGTGTTTTTTTAGATAGCATCATCAGCACAAACTTCAGATATAAATGTGCTAGATGTACTTATCAACAAGTGACTAGCGGTTTGTTCCCTTGACCTGGAATGTGGTAGGTTGTCCTTAACATCAACGTAAAGGAACCTCTTAAAGTGATATCAACTACTTTACTGTCAATCAAATGATTTCTCAAATTAAAATATATGAAACATCTGAATATGCTTAACACTTGTATTCACTGAACTGTTTGTGCATTGAAGTCCTTACAAGTAGTATCAAATCAAATAATGTATTAATCATTATTCTTATTTTCAGGTGACCTCTAATGGATTAGCCAATCAAGCGGGCTTAGAGGTTGGTGACGTTATAGTAAGCATTTGTAATTCCTTAACAGTTGGCAAAACGTACGAACAAGTCAAGGCGGAGATTTTACGGGCTGGCAATGAATTAGATCTTATATTAATCAGGTATGCAGGTATTAGTACTAATGTGATTTTACTTGCAAGTTGACTTACAATTTTATATTGTTCAAAGAACTTCATTCAAGGAGATAGCAATCATTAATCGGTTTCATTCTTCATTTATCTGTTTTACAATGTGAAATACATATACTTGTGCATATAATCTATTTGCGAGAAATTGCGATCAGCATTAAATTTTGTTACAGTTGGACTGAAAAACATTTACTTCCGGATACAGTCAGAGCACAAAATAGCTCGTAATTGAAAAGCATATTCCGAACTCTACTCACATTCCTCTAATTGACTGTATATTGGTGACCGATATCATATTATGTTTTATTTAATGGTAGTCTAATTATAACTATCTCCTTTGGCTATAAGCACTAGTCTCATTAACTTAATAACTTGCTTCAACTTATATAATGTTACGAAGTTGGAAGTAATCACCAGGAAGCCTTGGTACTGTCTTCTGTTGTGAGGCTAAATAATTCGATTTACAGTCATACGTGGAGTACGTTTCCATATAAGTCTTGGTGACAATTATCGATTAGTAAGAAAATCAGTTCTATAATTTTCTAATGAGCATCACTAATCAACAAACTAAAATTTCAGTTTTCAACTGTTTAAGCCAAGTGGTCATGCGTACAATCTTCTAATTCATTGTTTAATTAAAATTCTTTCCTCAACTTCTAATAGTCTTGTTGACATGTTCGACAAAATAAAAATTGAGATAATAACATTATTACATTTTATAATACTGGCTTCTATAATAGGATTTTTAAAGTTATTTGCACATATTCGTTCACAGTATATACAACTATCTCGATGACCAGATGTTTGTCCTCGTTTTTCATAATGCAAGAAGTTTTATTCCACAATTACTGGAAAATCTGTATTGAAATGTTTTATTCTGAAATTCTATTCAAGTGTATTTTTTGTATTTTACCAAAATGATGTATGAATTTTCATTGGAAATATAAAATATTAGGCGAACACCTATACCTGTTAACCTATCAGTTTTCCTTAACTTGAAAGTTAAAGTATTAACAATTTTCTATGGTGATAATTGATAGCATTAATATTAGTAAAGGCCTAATGAACGAAATCTTGGGTACGGTAAACCATTTTATTGTATTAGGCTCAATTACACATTGTATTTGTAAAATATGAAGACGATACACTATTTGAATACACCTTATGCAAATCTCCGGTGAATTGTCTGTTAAAAGCACTGTCGTTCTCTGAATCCTACTGCCACTTGGACTGCTTCTGTTTTTCTTTTTTTTTCTACTCATGCTCCTCTTCTGTCAGTAAGAATTCTACTTCCGATTTTCGAGACAAACTAATGAATTCTGTCTGTATAAGTAACACACATCACAAAAGTACTTGATTCAATTTACGTAAACTTGACGTGATAAGTAACATAATTGTAGTTTGATAGTGTTCTATTTTCTTAAGTCAAGAATACAATCTTTGAGGATACATGACCATCAAAGGAATAAATTTGAACTACGAATTGTTTTTATCATTACAAAAGTTTATGAATGCTTTGATTAGATCTGACATCTGTGGTGAGGGTTTACTTGTTGTTGAGTAAATATCCATGATGTAAGCTTGTTCTTGAATATATACACAATTTATTGTTTTTGATCATATTGATTTTGTTCCATAACGAAAACCTTTTTTTCCTTATTTCTTAAAGACGAGGTGTAGACTTAAGTAAAGTTGCACAGATTGCTCCACATATAATGACTACATCATCTTTTGGTCATCAATCATCAGTTGATTCGGATAGTAGTAGTCAGAGAAAGTTATCAACAAGATCATTAACACGAGGTCGATCATTCCGCCCGATTCAAACAAAATCGTTCCGTATTTTAGAACAACAGCTTAGTATTAGTGAAAGCACCGGTAATCCAGTTGTTAAACCTAGACAAAACGTCAATGAACTACGTATTATAACCTCACCTAGCTATAGTACTACATTTACTAAACCCTATGGACAAAATATAAACAGTCAAGGATTTATTACTGATGTTCGAAATAAACCACAACAAATACATCACGTAACAACGTCAACAACATTTATACATCCTAAATCCAATCAGAATTATAATCAACCGCAATCCAACTCATATGACTATAGTCATACAGCGAGTAATGTTTCTCCAAATCGGTGGGTAACTACTCAACCTATTCGAATATCAAATACAATGAATACTAATAATATGAACAATGTTAATTGTCAGTTATACCAACGAAATGAAAATGTCAACTGGGTAAAGGCTACTCCATCTAATCTACATTCTCAAAGTGATTTGTATAATCAAAGTACTTATATAACAAACAGTTACACTGAACAGAGTAAGTATTTTTTTCTTTACTATTTAGCGATTCTGAACTATTTTTACCATAATTTAAAATCAGTTATACGTAAGAAGATAATAATTTAGGTTGAAAACAAATATGAATTGTAGTAATAAAAGAATTGTTGACTTTGAGGTGATTAGTTGACCGAGTTCTCAGGTTAATTACCAACTCATCCAATAATCACTTTGTGTAAATAAGTTAATACAATCAGTTAATTGCTTCTCAAATATACAATAAATTAGTACAACACTGAATGGTTAAAATAAAATTCAGTCTTAATTTATAATTAGGTTTGTTATTTCAATCAGTCGGCCGGTTGGCTATCTGACTATCCGACGATTTATGATTATACAGAAATTATCCTCTCTGTGAACTTAAGCTTTCCGTAAAATCCAAGAAAATGAATGTTTGAAACTAAACAAAAAAACTTAAATAGTTGGAACTCAACTAGCCTTGAAATAATAGGGATGGGAGTGAGATAAAATTAAGTATAGAGTTCCAGTTAAAGAAGGCATAACTAGAGTCATGTCATTTTAGATATACTATCACCTTAGCCAGAAACATTGGGTTTAATTCGTCTCATCGAACCATACCTTTTGTTGTCTGAATTCTAGAGACTTTATTTATATTATTTTTTTTTTATATTTGGCTATCATAAGGTAGAATATCACACTGAGTAAGCCTCAGTTGCAGATTCCTTGTAATATAACTAATATTTTAGTGGAGAAAATCTTCTTTACAGTGACTTCATTTTTTTTGCAAATAAGTGTGTAACAATAATTGGAATAACTTATGATTCTATTGATACCAGTCCATTGATATTGAATGATTACTTTATTCACCAGTTACCTGAGTTAATATATTATACGGCTCCACAGATTTAAATAAACCAATCACAGTTTAATGAATTGTCTTCAGAATGAGGAGTGCTTTTATCAAGATCATTATTTTCATAATTATAGGTATGAAAATTGAATGAAAATAACATTGTTACCTATTTTTATGTATTTACAAAGAAACGTTAAGTACCTCTTACCTACTACACACTTACCATTTTAAAAATGCCACTATATAAATCATTTTTCTATTTCAAAACATAATAAATTTTTCTCTCAAAAACATAACAAAACTCAGTCCAAAGTTTTAATTGTCAAGAGGAATGTTTTTTTTCATAGTGTATAGAATATTTCAATATGTGGTTCACACAAAATTCTTGAAGTGAATTTTTCAACCCTAGATACACAGTTATACAATACATAAGTTACTGTCAAAGTAAAGCAAGTCAGTATACTAAAATATTATACTATGTCAGGATAATATGTTGTTTATGGTTACACAATAAACATCAACTTTTGTTTGAATTTACAAGCACTAGATAAACTTGAAGCATTGAAACTATTTAAATTATTTGTTAAGTAAAGAATTTACAAACGTATTTATAAATAAAATGACATTTTGTTAGTTCATTAAGTGAATCGTCTATAACTTGTAGAAAGAAACTATAATTTTTTTGATTTGATCCGTGGTTTCACAAATGTGTTAAGAAAAAAAGTGGACTAACCAATATAAATCTTTTATTTAAACAGTTAGTATGCTTTTTTTGAAGATTTTAACGGATAATCTAAAAGTTATTTTGACTAGTTTATTAAGTCTTTAGTGATAAACGAACATATTTGATCAAATTCATAGTGAAGCTATCGAGTTTTAAAAAAAATGTGATATCTCTATGGATTTTGTTCAATAAAAAAAATAGTTGGAACAGTTTCGTAGCAAGCTCTGAATTTGAGTTTTGTTCTCCTTTTCACTTGCCAGTGAAAGTTAATTATAATATTCACAGAAGGTATTCTGAGTAGTATCTGTTTGAGTCTATAAGATGTATACGTTTCCTGAAATGACAATCAGCAACAATCTGAGAGGAAATCTATTTTGCAGTATGGCAGTGATTATTTATTTCGAAAAAAACCCGAATAAACTCGAAAACATATTTTATGCTTATATATATCATGAATGCAATCACATGGAGTGAAAAGTAAATAAGTTTTAAGGAGATACTTCGGTGCTGCCCTTTTAAATTTAAATAACCTTTACCGTGTATAATTTTATTCATTTTCAATCTATCGTTTTGGATATTACAAGTAAAAAGCTATAATAGCTGCAAGTCAAAAATAATATTAAATTAAGAACTAGATTTCTTATTATTGTTATTTCTAATATAATAAGAAGTTCGCCAGATCAAACGAATGTCCAGGATCCAATACTATGAGATTATAACTGGACAATATCAGAAAATATTAATACTTAGGGTGACCTATCTTTTTGTGGTTTGTAAACTAATTCACGAATCATCTTTAAATTGATTAAATTCTCAAGAATATGAAATACACATTATTTTTACGTTGTAAACAAATATGTTGCATGGTTTTTTATTTTATTTATTTAACTTAAGAACAATACTGACATAGATTTTGGACAAATTATTGCTTTAGAAACTTAACTATATGTAAATAGATACATATAATATTGTAATGTTATAAACAGATGATTAACCGTTAAGTGATTACTCTATGACAAATCTATAATCAGAATGTCATTCATCTAGGTCCAAATTTTCTCATCTAATTCGTTTTTATTATACACTTTTTTATTGATTATTCCGTAAATTATACTGGCCGATATGATTTACATCCAATTACGTACATATTCAATTAGTATTGAGTTAATTAAACCGCTTAATAATAAATTGAATAAATACTATTTTAATTAACTAATTGGGTAATGATTATTAGTTAGATTATCTAAAATACATTTAGTTTTTGTACTGATTCTTATATAATCTATGCTACTGGACTTTATAAATAAAATCAATTCCGGCCGAATTCTGATTATGTATGAAGTTTAATGTGTATGCAATGTAAAGTGTATGAAAACGGTATTTAGATATTCGCACTGTAGTGAACAAGAACAGAAGTGGGGACAATCGGATGCATTCAAATTACAAAACGTCTTAGCAAAATCTGAGAACAATATGGTAAATACTTCATTTGCAAAATGTCAGTCAATCGTCTCAAACTTCATTGTTTCTTCGCTTCTACAGCAATAATTCACTGTTCTCATTCTCTTTTCTCCGATCTTAACTTTGTGCCACAAGGCATTTTAATTTCGATTCATGATACATACTACTTATATCTGTCGACATCAGTAACACACACAACAGCATCAGTTTATTGCATTTTTTTTACCATACTTATGTATTCAGAACAAATAAAATAGAATTGATTAAAAGTAAAAGATATTCATGACTATGTGAAGATTTCAACAGTAATCCCAAAATAATACTCGATTAATTATTATAAGTTAGACCACCATTGAAAACCTGGAAGCGCTGGACGGCCGTTTCGTCCTGGTATGGGACTCCTCAGCAGTGCGCATCCATGATCCCGCACCACGCGGGGCTCGAACCCAGCACCTACTGGTTTCGCGCGCGAGCACTTAACCACTAGACCACTGAGCCGGCATCCAATGGTGTTAATGTCTAAATTCAACCAATCCACGAAGTTGCGCCACCGTACACCATTGTCTTCAGTGAGTTGTTATCTCACAACAGACCGGCTGGATGCCGGCTCAGTGGTCTAGTGGTTAAGTGCTCGCGCGCGAAGTCAGTAGGTCCTGGGTTCGAGCCCCGCGTGGTGCGGGATCGTGGATGCACACTGCTGAGGAGTCCCAGAGTAGGACGACACGGCCTTCCAGTGCTTTTAGGTTTTCCGTGGTAGCCTAGCTTCAATTGACTCATGATTTCAACTATTGAAATTATTAAAATCTCCACAAAACCTTTTCTGAGAAAAAAAGATTTTGTGAATTTCTAATTTCAAACAGAATCGAAATGAATGAGATTTAAACAATTGTAGTGAATTTTCAATCCGTTTATAGACAATAACAATAATCTTCGCAAAGTTTAAGCAGATTACACATAAATAATGAATTAATTAGTCTTCTACAGGTCGCTTAGGTAGTAAAGCAGAAAAAAACGATGTATAAATTCCTATTTATGGATATAAATCACACACTTTTTCAAATCTTTATAAGCAATTAAATATTTTGTATTGTTGACGGTCAAGGTTAAGTATTTCAGGATAGAACTAGAATTTTAGGTTTAGGGTTTTAATCGGGAAATGACATCCGGTTAAATTAAAATATACTTTTTAGCCATTTGAATGAATGTGTCGTGTTCAAGGGAATCTGAGAGAAGTTATCTTAAATTTGATTAATACACTCAAAGATTATAACGCTATCTGGTTGAGGTTTGCTTCTGGAATAACGGATTGTGTTAATTTGTTGACCAAGCAGAAACTACATGGAAGAGATTCAGCACTTGATACCTTTAACAATATCGCTTTCACTATACGATAACAAAAAGTAATCTTTCGTCTTCACTTTCTGAGAGGTTTAACTGAAGTAATTCCACTGTTCATTTCACGTATTCTGAATTTCGCGTAAATATTTAAAAGTCATTCTTGGCTTGCTCCCACATTATACTTTGATCAAATGTTTTTTTTTAAAATCATTCGGAAATTGAATTTAAGTGTTGAATAGCTTAGTTGTGAACTTTACAGACTGCTGATACTGCTGGTGAAATGGACTGACATTCGATGGCGAAGGTAAATTCTTTTGAAGTTAGTCTTCATCACTATCAAACATCATCTGTACAACCATTGGAAATTATGTAGCGATGAACATTTGTTTGATTCTCGTTTCTGATTCCACAACTGTGTATATGCAGGACTTTCGAGTCTTGAGATGAGGAAGATACTAAACTAGGGTGAAAGAAGCATGGTTGTCAATCTTTGTTTTTCAATAATTCTCCAGTTGATGTATGTAACAAAAGTTAACTTTGTCCTTTAAAATACACATAGTATTCCTTAATAAAAGCTTTAGAAGCGATTGCTGATAACATCATTTGGACTTGATTTCATTTATCTATTTTCATCCACCTAATGACTGGAAATGAATCCATAAAATGTAACTTAAAGGTCATTAGATAATAATAAAACAGCATGATTGTGTGACATCTCACTACAACCATTGATAGTAAATGTCTTTTTAAATAGATAATTTAATCAAGTCTGGAATGGCACAGTAACTCGGAGATCACATTAGATAGAAATAATGCTATTTCACAAAGTGATTGAAACTTGAAAATGTGAATTGTTTAATTTCATTTCAATAGCTTGATGCTATTGTAACTTTACAAAGACTTTAAATCCCTAGGTTCAGACCATTTTAAGACTATGTTCCTATTCCCCTTAGAGATACTTAAACATGATGAAATAAATGTTCATTTCTATATTATTTTTAATGGCTTTCTGAATGGTTGAATATTACAAAAATAGTCTAATTTTGCATTTTAAAAGCAAACACTCATTGGAATCAGATTTTTTACTTTTTATGTCATCATCAATAGAATTTACATTCGGTCAATCAATTTACTAGTAGTTCAATTATGATTCACCCAGACTATGTTTTAAATGATAAACTATAACATTTTACTCTCTATGACCAGTCTTTTAAACAAGGATTTAACAAATTGTGGTGTTTGAATGAACTAATGATTTCTTTGTACTTGTTGAATGCTTGATTTCGAATTCCAAATACAGTACATTCGTTCGTGCTTATCTAGTACTTCTTGATCCGATTATGTTATTTCTGGGATTCCTAGTTCATACTATAATTCAAATAATTTTAATTATCACACAAATACTAACCAATTTTCTGAATTATTATTCACACCATAATTATATATAATTAATTCACGTACTACTAACTATTTATCTTAAAAAGAAACTTTTATTTATAATTGACATAATTTATTTTATGCATTATTTCTCTTGTTATTTAGGAGATTCATCAAGTACTAGATCTGTTCCAATCTATTCTACTTCATATTCACCCTATAGACAACTATAAAATCTGGTAGCGGTTAAATCTTAAACTTCTACTGAATAAAAAAAATTTTTTTTTTCCATAGATTTCCTTATATAAAGTATACAATTATATTAAATCATTTTATATAATAAGATTTATCCATTTGTTTCATCAATCTGTTTTATTTAAATTATATTTGATAGTTTTGTGATTTTGTTTCGATAAATGAAACATTCACTTATCTATTATTAGTATTCTACCTTCATCTCTTCTTATATCGTATTTTCTACTATACTTTATAATTTTCTAATATACTTTATCTTAATCTAATGGAATGAAAATGAACTGTTTCATTTATTGAAAAATTGATCATTTTCTCCTACCTAATGTTTGAATTGCCTTATCCTACTCTACATTATTCATTCGATCAGATTTAATATTATTCTTTTTAAATTTAGTGCAGTAAAAGAAAAAATAATTGATCAATGTTACACATCATTATGTACATTGTACCGTGAACACTTCAAATAAATGTACCTGTCATTGTTGTCAACCCCTTCTCTTAATCAGTTTGACTGATACTTCATATTTTTGTTTTTAGTAAATTTTGACTGAATTGAGTAGTTTGCTAACATTTCCTTCATTTATATATACATATATACAAATTCATTTGATCCTAGTAATTATACAGTTTATTTTTTACCAAAAATAATTTTGATGTAAACTACAAACAACTGAAAGAATAAGTATTTGTCCCAGCTATTGTTCAGTTTAAAGTGAAGTCCAGTTAACTTTAGACAGAATATAACTTTACCTAGGTATTAAATATGCTTCTGAGAAAATTCTCTCGTTTACACAAGTTAACTAGGAAACTAACTAGAAACACAAACATATTTCAAATTGATATCATTTAAGGTTTCTATTTATCAATGACATATTGGTCAACATGTTTCTTAAATTTCGTCATTCAGTTTGTCCACTAACATACAATGTGCCGAAAAACTGAGCACTTTTGTAAAAAAAAGTATCAGGTATTTTTATGAATTCAAAGTTAGATTCTATTCGTTATCAGATATTGTGATAATTAAGAAGTGCTACTGCAATACAGTGAGAGAAGTGTCAACTGCAGCAAAGTATAAAACGGAGTATTTCAATACGAAACGATGACTTATGGTTTATGACTAATCACTTAATGATAATATCGGGTAATAAAATTACAAAATACTGCGAATAAGGATGAGATCAGATAACATTTGAATCTCTATATCAGCTCGTGATAATTTGAACTGTTTAGATCTTTTTTCTTGGCCATTTTTCAAATAAAGCCTACTTGCCATACCATCTAATTTGTGTATTAGCACAAACCTAGATTTATTTCTCTTAAATTCAACATTTCCACTTTTTTGTCGTATCAGTATGAAAGTAGACAAAGAGTAATACAAGAGATTATATAAAGATAGACATATAGTAAACCAAAACTTCGCAGTTGAACATGTTATGATCAGATAAATTCATACAATGATTTATATCATTGTCATATTAATAATGACAGAATTGTAACTTCGATCGAGCGCTTATCATGTCCCAGGTGTGTGAGGAACTGATACATATGTATTGTATCTCAATTTTTAACGAAGTCGTACTTCTGGTATTTTAAGATAATTTGATTGACGTCTCCGAAACTGTACAATTTGTTTGGGTGTGCAATCAGTGATTGAGATTTCTACGCATTTCTGTGACATTTTAAAATGAGCGTAGTCGTTCTCACTTTTGTTAGCCAGTTAAATTCATTTGAATATCAACACCTTATATTTCTACTTTCTTCTCTCATAATTTCTGATGGTTTTTCTAGTAGTATATTAATATGAACTACGATATACTTCCATATAGGAGTCAGATTTGTCAGCTAAAATGTTGCTTATTAGTGTATGAAAATGTATGGTTGGACGGAAATTCTCAGAAATACTGTCAGGGTCCAAAATATTTGGAATTTCAGTTGTTCTGTAACTATGGGTTCATCAGATACGCGCTTTGTAATTCAAATACATTACAACACTGTATTTCGTCAATAATCTAGTACAATTGAAAACAACAATAATTTATAAAGGCGTGTGTTTTTTGTCGCTATAAGCATCATAATCGACATGTTAAGCTCAACAGAGAGTGGAGGTTCGCTGGAGACTTTCACTAACAACTAACACTCGATCCATTCTCTTGGTGAACCTGTGTCTGGTGAAACCCGTTCGTGCCGTAAAGCATCCAAGGACGTATACACACAAGCTATGAGTTCAATTAGTGGCAACAAAGAATCCATTGTTCTGAATGACCATAGTTATACTTCGTCATAACACTATGTTTCATATCGTAATATTTTTAGTCTTGTGTAAAGTCGTTTATTTGACCGTCAGTTTGTTGTTACAACCTTACGGCAGAGAGAGTGCATTGTGCATTCTTGTGTTCCTGTGTGGCTAAGAAATGTGGGGGCGTTGGTTTGCTTTACTGTGTAGCGATAACCAGTTTGGCGCCCACACGATTAGTCGTTCAGACCGTTCACCAAATACTAAAAAGTTGAACTTGATGTATTCATCATCTAGAGGAAATTCAGTACTATTTCACTACTTAGAAATCACACAGGGTTTACTTTTCACAATCATGATGCTGATTTTGCTAAGCGCTCGTTTCTGCACGCACCAGCAAAACTCATTGTCTGACACAACTTTGCTTTATAATTTTTGTAAAAAGCATTGACTCACGAGTTTTATGTCTTATTTAGTCAAAGATCAGAGTCTCCATCTATTCTTCGCTTTTAGTGGTTTCTTATTCGCAACCTAACATCCCTTTTTTTCATCTTCGCTTTTGTAGGTAAGTTCGTGTAATGAGTTTGAAATAATCTTTCTTCCCTTGAAAATTTTGTAGGACTCAAACATACACATATACGTACGATCATTACCATAGATAAAGATTAAAACGAGCACGCTACGAACTAGACGTTACTTTCAGACCGAAGCCTGCAGTTTTATTTTTCTAGGATTCTTGCAGGGCTAGATGGATCATTTTCCCTTGAAATTATCAAAGATAACCACACTATGAATTATCTACGTTTAAACTGTCAGGTTCATACTATATGATAAAACCACATTTTAACATGTTCATAATATATATAATCATATCCATATAATAATTCATATTCATGTGATTACATAATCATTTTGCCTATTTGATGGAACAACATGCCGTCACTTTTAATCTATATGTAATCATATCTGACGAAGAATTGCATTCCATATTTGTATACTATTCCTTATATCGTGTTTGGATGCTGTAACCTACATACTTTATGCATTTAAAGGTTCCACTCAGACCTGTATCTAACATTAAAAAATAAATGATCAAGCACCATACTCTGAACGTTACACACTTTTTTGTATACTATCCTCTAAATTGTATCTCCATGCAACAACTCATTTAATTTCTGAAATTATCCGTTCAGTTCAGTGAGTCTGTCATGGTTTTTGGTCAGTATTTCTACCTAAAAAGCTGTTTCACATATTCATAAAGAATCATAATAAATCTAGGTGGCAATAATCTTTAAAACTATTTACCTCTGCACACCCCTTCAATTTTAACTATGTCAGGATTTTAGTCGATATATGTACTACATATTATATCTGTAGTGGCATTGGACCATAACCACACAATCATCAAAGCTGAATACGAGATTACTCGGAAAATAGATATTCAATATCTAACGCGGAGAAACACCTAACGATGGAGAAGGCGCGAACAATGAATTGAATGGCATGGCTCGGCCATGCAGGCGTGGTCCCTGTTGTCTTATACCTTTTAACTATATTAAATATATTGTCCTATCTCTAGCCTAAGCTTGTTCTCCATCATGTATTGGTAATTGTTATGATGCAATGAGTTGGTGTAGACGACGATGTGACTTCCACGTAAGATCTTAAAGATTAGGCAGTTATATCATGACAAGTCTATAATTTTAGGATTAGATCTATTATTAGAGCAGTACTAATATCATAGTAGACCATAATTCTACATACCCACCTTGATTGTTTGGTATTAACAACCGACAGTTCTAGATTACTTTATCATATACGGCAACCTTTCCGTGTAATCTACACGTAAAAATTTACCCAATGTGCATATTTAGGTCCTAGTTTACCTATACATATGTACTGACATACATATTTACTACGATCTTCCTGACATTTCCTTTTCTTGTATTTGTTGTCTTTACTAATTCCCAAGATGAATTTACTCTCGTTTCAAACAAATGTTGTTATTTCCAACTTATCTTGAAGCCGCGGCTTGATTTTTAAAACTACTTTGTTCAGTCCATCTGCTACTTATCACTTTCCATTTATTGTCCAAAAAATTGAAAGCCTCTGCTTCCAGACGTCCAGCCAAACGTAAGAAAACGACACGATTCCCGGCAGCTTCAACTAGTTGAGCTACTCCGTTAATCCAGAAGCAAACAAGCATATGTCAGTTCTCTCCATTTCAGACATGGTGAAGACTCTATTGATAAACAATGTTGAAAATCACCATTTTCACCATACGGATGATATACGAAAGTTGTTAGTTGACATGGATGTTCTCAATCCGCTTAAGTTTCTCATCAACCCCAACTTTACAGAGACTACAGATCAGATGAATGACACAAATAATTTCCCAGATCATGTTGCTTCATAGGTGCTTGAAAGAATAAGACGATTCAGCGATGCAGTTGTGTTTAATATACCGGACAAATATGCGCTTAAAAATATCAAGTCAAATCTCCTTACAGCCAGCAATATGACATATGTACCATGTGTGTGCACAGTAACTGAGCAACGGCTGACGGGAAAAGTAGTCGTAACATTCATATAATTTACCATGCACTCAACGTCGAAATATTCGAACCTTGAAAACCATCGCAAGTATGTTTAACAACAATTGTACTCCTTAAGGAAGCCTGGTGTAAATCATCCAAGTTTCATCACTCCTTAGACTTTCAACATTCCTTACATTTTCTTTAGAACCGACAGACGTCACGGAATAGGAGGAGGTACAATTGTCTATGTCCGTTCGAACATTCAGGTGTATAAAGTTGAGGACGGATATTCTGATGTTACAGATGACTCCACTTGAGTTACCGTAAATTGTGGATTGCAAAATTATATACTGGTGGGGTGCATATACAGGCCACCTCATACAGGTACTAACTTCGAAAGATTGCTAACAAACATATTTTTCATTAGTTCGTGCCAACCGCATACGTTTAAAATCATAGGATGTGACTTGAATGTCCCGAACATTACATGGAGTCGAAGTCGAACTCAGGTCGATATAACAAGTTAGTTGAAACATTGATTGTTCTTGTATGGGTCCAACAAGTCTGACAACCGACTAGGAGGAGTGATTTACCTGGTTTGTTATTTACAATCTACATCAAACCTCAGTGCACATCAGTCATGAACATTTTATGGGTGATCACAGACTCCTACTGAGTATTATTCATTCTCTAAACACTATACAATTGGACTCCAAGGCTGAAACATTGTACATTGTTGTTTGACCTGTAGAAAGCAATTTCTTACAGGTGTGACTGAAAGCTATTCTCTAGACTGTCGAGCACAGAGTCTTGGTTTAGACAAAGTCAGAACAAGTAAGCTATTTGGCCTGATAAATTTTATCTGTTTCTAAAACATAAATTAACACCGTTAGTATACAATATAAACAGTACAGTCTATTAACACAGAGAAAAACAGAGACATAAATAACATACCGAACAGTGACTAGAGGACAGGAAAAATGAGTCAA